CCCCCCCCCCCCCCCCCCAAAAAAAAAAAAAAAAAATGGTATAATTGCCCGTTTTTAACGGATTTTTACCCTAAAGAGGTCTTGTAGAATTTTCGGGAGCCTTTTTTCTAGTTGAAATTTTCGAAAAGGTAAGTTTTGATCCCTATAATTTTCGGATCACTAGACTTTCAGCTAGAAAATCCGAACAGATGAAAAATTTTGGGGGGATAAAAATATGCCTATATCTACCGTTTAAATACTAAAATACGTTCAACAATGCAATGTTTAAGTGGTTTTGAACTATATTCTGGTTGGGTGCCCCTGACTGGTCAATTAAGTCGCGATGTTATTGGTCGTCTGTCAGTTAATCCGTGATGTTTGGTTATCGAAACGCACCAATGACATTACGAGTCCTCATAGCCAATAACATCATGGTTTAACTGACAGACGACTAATAACATCGCGACTTAATTGACCAATCAGGTCAATAACCAGAGTTTAATTGCATCAACTAACGTGATACAACTCACTTTGACTCTGAGGATGACCCGGCGCACAGGTTGTCGAAACGTCAGTCACTGTCAACAACAACAGTCCTATTCAGGACTACGTTCACCCGGACGATCAAACTCAGCCTACTTATGAAATGACCCCTGGGTTCAAATCTTTCACAAAAACTGAATTTGTGAAATTATGGAATAGGTTTGTACATCCAGGAAGAACGAGATAAAAAACGTCCACTTTCTCTCTGGATATGCCAACGAATCCCATAATTTCTCAAAATTATTTTTTTTCTGACGTCACTCTTCCCTTCTCTATTTAGCAGCCAATGAAAGTGGGCAGTAAAATCAATAGAAATGGACAGCAGTGTCAGTTCTAGCATAGATTTCGAAGCTGATATAGGCAAAAGCAGCCTAGTCCCTAGGCGTTCTCTCTTGCCCCGTTGTCCGCGCGAAGTCTGAAGTCCGGGCGGGTGTACTCACTATGATGGCTATACGGGGAGGCTCCGCCCGAAAGGGGTACCTTTTTCAGGCTTCAGGTATATGAAAGGGTAGGGATTTTACTCGTTGAAGTATATTAATAAAGGGTAGGCAAATCTATCATTTGGGTCTGTGGAAGGGTCCAGGAGGGATAACAGATGAATTTTATGGCTTTATAAAGTCGAGAAAACGTTCTATTTTTGTGATTGATTTCTATTTAAGAGACAGTGCATTTACAGTAGTTTAAAGGGATCGATGCAATGTTCTAAACAAGGTATGTGAAAGGGGTACCATTTGTCAATAGAAGGTGAACTAAAGGGGTACTGCTTTTTCGTGAAAAATGGTATATAAAAGGGTAAGGGGTTGGACCTCGGGACGGACCCTCCCCGCATAAACATCTGTTGACTACCCCCACCCCAACTCCGGGTACGATATCCGCTTCTCTTGAAGCCACAGGGTTTCATAATCTAAACCTCTCCAGTTCAACGATTGTATTGATTTAGGGAATTCTTCGCTTGGCTCTTGAGTTTAAAAACCCTTCACAAGCCGAAAGTATTAGAACAGCAGCTGGAAACAAACACAATGCACTTTCAAATATTTCTATTATTTGCTTTCACACGAAACGCAAATGAAGGGATTTTCAATCACTAACAACATATCGAAGTCTGTTATCCCTGAGTGTATGCGATTAGAATGCCTGAATTCAGAAAGGCGCTAAAAGAGCTGTTTCATGTTCACGTCGACGTGCGAGGTCAAAAAAAATGAGTTAGAATGGCAGAAACTGCCAAAAAAAAAAGAAAAAAAAAAGGCAAGTCGGCGACGTAAAGGCGGAGTTAAGCAAGGAGGATATGTCAAATCGAAGACGTGATTGACAAAGAGAAGGCATCTGACATGGTTTTTTAATTTGCTACAGGTGGATTTCGAGCAGATGGAAGAAACCTATCAGGCTATAGCGCTTCAAACTGGTTCCGTTAAAGAAAGCAATTACAAATCGCAGACAAAAAGAACAGAAGTAACTCTAATGAAAGGGGAAAAAGAAAGGCATTTTTAATGCTTTTTGTTAATTAACCTGTCACCAGACAGGGAAATAGAGTCAATTGAAAGAAAAATGTATTCGATTAGAAGCACTGTCTTTTTGTTACGTTAAACTACAAAGGCAGTTTTTAACGCGCTATCTACTCAACTTCAACCATGATATGTCCAAATTTTACAGTGCCCGATGGTTTTAGCACCGTTATAGCATCTGTATGTTTTACTTCTGGCTGCCTAGCCGCAGTAGAAAACACCATTTGCCTGTTTGTGGTGTACAGACTTCACTCTCTCCGAAAAACAGCGCGATTTTTCATGGCCTCGTTAGCCGCATCTGAGCTTTTCTCTGGAGTAGCAGCGAACTTTAACATCTCCCTTTTGTTAATGCTACATCCTTCATTGGGCAGTGTGATTCTTTGGAAATTTGAATCGGCTTTGTGGTATTTCACAACATCAGTTGTAACATTTAATTTGGTAAATGTTTCATTAGATAGGTACATTGCAATAACCTCGCCTTTGCACTATCACATCAAAATGAGCTTAAAGCGCTGCGTGGCGTTAATACTTTTTTCCTGGATTTTCGCTATTCTAGCGGCATCGCTTGCGTTCATAGTTCCTTTAATAGACTTACCCAAGCTATGGATTTGTGGGACGGTTACTGCAGTATTAATACCGTTTGGTATTATATCATTTTGCTACTTTAAAATCTACAACGCAACGAGACGAACTTTCCCTGAACGTGAAAATATCACTGATGCCCAGCAAATCGCCGAAAACAAGCGACAGGCAAAGACTGCCAGAACGTTTGTGATTATAACAGGACTATTTCTGGTTCTTTTTGCACCAAGTTTTATTTTTAACTGCATCCAGTTATTTAGCACATCGCTACATAGAGGAAAGGGAATGGAACAGTTCTGCACGCAGTTGAATTCTAACAGAATGGTTTGGATTTGCATCGCTGTTGTCTCGTATTTCAGCGCGGTCTGTGATCCCTGGGTGTATGCGATTAGAATGCCTGAATTCAGAGTGGCGCTAAAAGAGCTGTTTCATTGTTCACGTCGACGTGCGAGGTCGAAAAAATGAGTTAGAATGGCAGAAACTGCAAAAAGGAAAAAAAAATGCAAGTCGGTGAGGTACAGGTGGAGTTAAGCAAGGAGGATATGTCAAATTAACGACGTGATTGACAAAGAGGGGGCATCTGACATGGTTTTTTAATTTGCTATAGGTGGATTTCAAGCAGATTGAAGAAACCTATTAGGCTAAAGTGCTTTAAACTGGTTCCGTCAAAGAAAGCAATTATAAATCGCAGACAAAAAGAACAGAAGTAGTTATAATGAAAGAGGAAAAGAAGGAAAAGGGTAAGAGGAAGGCTTCATGAATAACAAATCATTAATACAGAGCACTTTGAAAGTCCGTTGTATTTGGTTTAGATTCACATGTAATTATTTAGGGGTTTTAATGTTTCTGCATTATCCTAACCCAGTTGCATGAAAACGTTTCAAGTAATTCATTAACCAGTGGAGCAGTGGAGCAGCATGTACTATTTACACTTGTACCTGTAATATTTATTCGTAGTCTATTTGAAAGGAAGTTTCTGTCGCGATCGGTCGACAATTTGTTTTGTCTTCACACATTGGACATCCAATATCCGACTGCTTAGAGGGGCTGTCACACTATTTGCCATCTTTTCAAAAAGCTAAAACTTTTTTCGCATCAATTGAATTCCAAAAATTAATGAAGCAGTTTCGTTATTTAAGACTATATTTTCGAAGCGGATGGCAAGCATGAACACGGATTTAAAACTTACTTGAAAAAGTTGGGTCAACCATTGAAAGTTTTAATGCTATGCATGCAAAAATCATCCAAAAAATATTAAGGCTAGTAATCCATAATGCAATCTGTTTGATATCTTCTTTACAACTTTACAGGAGCATTTGTTTATGGGTAAAAGCACCAAAAGCATTGGTAATGACTTGAGCAATTCCTTTTGACATAACCCCTAAAAGCGGTATGATTGAAAAAATTCCTGAGAGCAGGTTTGATCAGACAAAGCATCGTATGGAGGTGCAATATCAACGCTACGTCAAAGAGGATATCCAAAAAATAAAATAAAATAATAGACTGGGGTACGCGTCCACTTTCGCGCTCCTCCCAACGTGCTTTGTAGGCTTCAAACATTCGTTTCCAAGCTTAACGGAGCCGGATGCAACGCGCCTGTGCGAGAGGCGATTCTCGTGGGTGCATCGCATAAATTAAATCCAAAGCGACCCTGTAAAGTGTGAAGAAAACATGTTGATCATCATGGTGCCAAGTAATTTAATAGAGTTCAAATGAAAAGACTAGAGGTTTGGCTGCACGAATTGTATAAAGCTAAGTCTACGTTTTTTCATACTCTTACTCAACTCGACTATGACGCAACAAGAGATCAATTGACGCCACCAGCGCAAATGACATGTTGCAAATAGACTGCGAGAAGAGACCAATTGCTTTAGGTATTCATTCTGCTATTCTCGCCTATTTTTAAATGCGTGAGACGCGAGTTTGAAACATTTAAAATTGTCTCACGTGGAGCGACGAGCGCTGAGAAACTCTTCAATACAATAAGTCTGCCCTGTAAACTATATGCATGGGCACGGTAATCCACTGGTCAAGAAGAACGCGGGCTGCTGGGCCTTCCGACGTCCTGCCTTCATCTCAGATTAAAACAACTGAGTTTTACACTGAAATGTTTTCCCCGACACTTGGGGTTGGCTAGGCATGCTTCTTTGATGGTATTTTTCCTATCCTCATTTGACAAATTTCCTGTCAAGATGCTGATCGAGTTTAACTTAGTTCAAATCCAGCGCCAGATTCCACAGCGTATAACAGCTTCTCCCTCATGATTTCATCATCTAAGTATTCTGGTAATTTTAACAAGTTCATACATGTGCTAGCAGTGGGTAGCCTATCCTCAGGCCCCGCGCTGTGAATACAAAATGGCGGCTCAAGGTCCTGAAGGCAAACAAAAAAGTCCAATTAAGAAACGACCCATTGTCGACAGTGCGTGCCAGCGAGACTCCCTCCTCCAATGAAAGGTTTACTACATTGCCAGGGACTTTGTCCCCTGTTCTTTCCAGATAGTAGTATGGGAATGAGAAGAACAGAGGAGACAGGGCTAATGAGTTAATGTCAATACCCAAAGACGCGATCACCTGAACTAAAACAAGATCTAACTACAACAAGACAGAAAATTGTGTAGAGAATACGCGTGTTCACATGATAAGATTTCAGCCTGGTGACTGTGCAGTTAATTAGGGAACAACATGTAAAACTGATATAGGCTAAAAAGGGCCATATTTGAAAAGATAGCGTAGTTGGGCACAGAACACCCAATCTAATAAATACATCGAAAGAAGTGGGTACGTTTGAAACCTAAACCACCCTTAAGCCACCCTTCCTTCCTACTTTATTTTAGAAGTATTACTATGGCGCTTTAATTTGAAGAGCCAAATCACGAAATCAGAAATTAAGGCTTGAAAACCAAATTAGGACATTTTTTTCTTCGCAAATGCACATTGGACATCAAAAGGGAAAAAGAAAAGGGAACGAGGGGTAAATCTGAGAGCAAACAATACCTTAAAACCAAGTAATGGAGGACGCGAACAGCTTGTTACAAACTTAAGCAGCTGACGTTTTTGCGTGTCTGTAAATTGATCGACTACACGCCAAAAAGAATGAACANTGATGGTATTTTTCCTATCCTCATTTGACAAATTTCCTGTCAAGATGCTGATCGAGTTTAACTTAGTTCAAATCCAGCGCCAGATTCCACAGCGTATAACAGCTTCTCCCTCATGATTTCATCATCTAAGTATTCTGGTAATTTTAACAAGTTCATACATGTGCTAGCAGTGGGTAGCCTATCCTCAGGCCCCGCGCTGTGAATACAAAATGGCGGCTCAAGGTCCTGAAGGCAAACAAAAAAGTCCAATTAAGAAACGACCCATTGTCGACAGTGCGTGCCAGCGAGACTCCCTCCTCCAATGAAAGGTTTACTACATTGCCAGGGACTTTGTCCCCTGTTCTTTCCAGATAGTAGTATGGGAATGAGAAGAACAGAGGAGACAGGGCTAATGAGTTAATGTCAATACCCAAAGACGCGATCACCTGAACTAAAACAAGATCTAACTACAACAAGACAGAAAATTGTGTAGAGAATACGCGTGTTCACATGATAAGATTTCAGCCTGGTGACTGTGCAGTTAATTAGGGAACAACATGTAAAACTGATATAGGCTAAAAAGGGCCATATTTGAAAAGATAGCGTAGTTGGGCACAGAACACCCAATCTAATAAATACATCGAAAGAAGTGGGTACGCTTGAAACCTAAACCACCCTTAAGCCACCCTTCCTTCCTACTTTATTTTAGAAGTATTACTATGGCGCTTTAATTTGAAGAGCCAAATCACGAAATCAGAAATTAAGGCTTGAAAACCAAATTAGGACATTTTTTTCTTCGCAAATGCACATTGGACATCAAAAGGGAAAAAGAAAAGGGAACGAGGGGTAAATCTGAGAGCAAACAATACCTTAAAACCAAGTAATGGAGGACGCGAACAGCTTGTTACAAACTTAAGCAGCTGACGTTTTTGCGTGTCTGTAAATTGATCGACTACACGCCAAAAAGAATGAACACAGGGATGATCTCCAGTAAAACCACCTGAAACAAATCAAGAATTGTGCGCGTTAGAAAACAAAGGGTTGCCACTCCTTGAAACTGAACGAGACTCACTGGATATTTTTTCGACTATTTCTTAACGTCTAAGCGACCTTCACTAACTTAGCTTCTCGCATTTTCTACAGATTCGTTTTTATTATTATTAGCAGAAACATTTTACTCAAGATAAGTAATAACCAAAAGCTGGGGAGTGCAGGCGATCGATCGAAGGTCAAAACCCTCTTGCTCCAACGCCGTGCTTTGTGTAACGTCAAGTAATGGAAGGTCAAAAAGCGCGTGTTCAGATTACGAGTGATAGAGGGTCCAAACACACGTTTTCAGATTGCGTTCTGGGCATTCCATTCATTCTCAAGTCCAAACAAATGCTGGCTAAATACATGCCAGGCATGCGTAATGGCAACGTGGAGATAAGGATTGCGAGCTCCTCTGCTCAGTTGCAATTAAGGCGATCGCCTCTCGATCTCTTTGCGCTGTTCACGGAATCTTATTTTTTCTATGAAGCTATGGGTTATCAACCTGGCAATGAAAATCCTGGCAGTAAACTGTCCACTGTTCCTTTCCCGAAACATTTAAACATGACTGATTTTACTATGTCAAAATCAGGAGAAATGAATTTTTAAAATACATGTGAAATGATTGAATGTAGTCTCGTCTGCTGCCGTGTGTTTAGAACTTGTACCTGAATAATTTGTGTTTCTTCTAAGATCCTCAAGGTCGACTGGAATCAAGGCACCAGATATAAGAACCTGAAATATTTACCAAAATGTGAGTCTGGTGGACTTTTGAAATGACGGCCCCTCCCGGAATCGACATGGAGAGCAATTGCAGCAAAAAAGAGCAATCAAAATATAAGAGTAAACGAACGGATGGACTGAAAAAATTAACAACCAACAGGGGCAGATCCAGGATTTTTTTTAGGAGGGGGTGCACTCGTCTCTTGCTCTACTTCAACACCAATAAACCACATAGTTTTTTTGTTTTGCAGAATACCAGTTGTATTAGAAAACCGCAGGTCATCAAAAAAGGAGGAGAGAGAAAAAAAAAAAAACAACCCACGGGGGAGTGTGTTGTTTTTTTTGGGAGGGGGGGGGGTTTCTGTTCTTTCCTCTACCCCCACAACAAAAAAACACTTTTTTTTTTTTTTTTGAAACTCACGTGTTTTTTTAAAAAGCGGGGGGTGTTGCGGGGGGGGGGGGGGGGTGCGCACCCCCTGCACCCTCCCCCTAGATCCGCCCCTGACCAAAGTCTCCTCGTGAAACCAGCCGTCGCGCCGAGGACCGTCGGCTGTCTTCTAAGGCTAACGAATGCTGAGTTGAGCCTCGCATTTTGACAGAGATTTGGTCTATATCATATCAGAGAGAAAGT